AGGGAGAGAGCAGCAGTTCCAGCCTCACTGGGGCTCCGTGCAGGAGGCAGCTCGGGTGCTGAAATGACCCCGTTAATGAAACGGGAGTTCATTAAGGCCTTGGCAAGTGGCAGGAATGGCAGGGCAGGGCTGTGGAGGTGAAACCCTTCTCTCCCAGCCCCAAAGGAGCAGCTCCCACTGGCCAGGCCTCTGCCTGGTGCAACTGCACAGCTCTGCTGATGCTGGTGGAGCTCTGCCACAATGGGCACTGGCTGGTAACTGGCCTAGGGCACTACTAATGGAGTGGCTGCATGGCTGATGGCATCTGCTATTTTCCAAGCATAATATTGTATTATATATAATAATAGAATGATTTCCACTTGCCTGACCCTCCTGCTGTCTCCTCCTCTTTCTCCCCTACCTCCTGTCACACTGCAGCCAGGCTGCCCTGACACTGCAACTGGAAACTCAGCTTTTGCTGGCCTTGTGCATGCTGGAAATATCGTGGGTAGAGAAGAGAGTGTTTCTGTTGCATTTATTTTTAAGACTAAATCCATGTAGGAACAGCTTAGTAGTACTGAGTTTCTGGTTTTGAGTAGACTCTGCAGAATCTGAGGATAAGTTTTATGCCCGCTCTGCTGATGCAGCTACTGATGAAGCAGCAGTCTCTGTAATACTGTTGCTAATTTGGTTTTCTGGAAGCAATGCTTAAGCAACAATGCAACGTGAGTCTTTGCTCCATGGAGGAGGTGTTTTGGGGATGCCATGGATGGCAGGCAGCTCACCTGATGGCCATGGCTGTGCCATTGCAGTCGGGTTGTGCAGGTGAAGCTGAGCAATGCCTGGTTGGTCATGCAGCTCTGCACAAAGAAAAGCTCAGCAGTGTCTCCAGCCACCTGTCCCTTCCTGGGAACTTCCACTCAGCTGCAGTGCACAACTCTTATTTTGGGTACCCTTTGCTCCCCAAAGGAGCAAACAGGATAAATACAAAAATAGAGATGCTAAAACAGAAGCTTTCTAAACATGGCACTGGCAGTGTGGAGGGACACTGGAAGGTAGAAATAACTGGATTTTTGTCTCAGCTACCACCATTTGAGCTTATTGTGACCAAAATGAATATCTGCTCTTATGAGAGGGTGTGCTGAGCTCACCCAAAGCCCTTCAGGCCCAGCCTATGGAAAAGGGTTCACCTGCCCCACCCTGGGCCTGCCTAGGGAGCGTGCCAGACGTGCCAGGGGTTTGCCTGTCACGGTCATAGCTTCACAGTGCTCCTCAGAGCCACTGGTTTAGAGACCTAAGTTAAGGATTTAACCTGAAGTCACAAAAAAATTGAGTCTAGTCAGCCCTCTGCAGCTAGCATCTCCTCCAACTGTTTTCAGGTTCCCTGGAATGCTAAGCTTCTCTTGGAGCAAGGCTCTAGTTAAAGTGGAGGGAAGTGAACTGTTTCCATTTAAGTAATTAGCAGTGCTGCGTCCTGGCCAAAGCACACACGATGTTACAGCCATTTTTAAGCTGTTACATGCCTGCATAACTGCTGCCCAGGCAGCCAGCAGGAGCAGCAAACCAGTGAAGGGCCAAGGAAGGGTTGGGACAAAGGGCCAGATTCTGTTCAGTCAAATCCCATATAAAGCTGACTAACATCAGCGACTGACAGAATAACTGCAGGTCACCAATGTCTTAGAAAAACCAAAGAATTCCCCTTTTTAGCACCCAGGTGTTGCTTTCAAGGGTATAGTTTTGAGTGATTGCCATCCATAAGTTGTGGCTTCAAATACTAGGAAGGGACATCTTCCCTCTCCACCCCATGCTTCTTCCCCCAGCACTTTCTGAAAGCACTGCTGCCCTTTGACAGAGATCTGATCTCTCTGAGAATGCCTGGTGACCAGCTTCGCCTGGCTTCTCCTTCATATGCTGCATCCAATGTTTTCCAGGGCAGTCTGAGGGTGGGGCAGCTACCCTCAGGCTGTGGCCATGAAGGAACGACAGGCTGAGCTGCCACAAAAGATGCAGCCTGGACTAGCAGTGATCAGACAGTAACACACAACTGGGACATCAGCTGGGGCAAGTGGGAGTTCCCAGCAGGCAAAACTACACTGTGCAGGCATCGTGAGGGCTGCCATGGCCTGCACTTGAGCTGTTTAACATGCAGTGTTAGAGGTGCAACTTCCCTCTGAAGGAGGTGGTGGGCTTGGTGTTTTACACTGTTTCTTTTGGTAAATTGTCAAAACCCTGATTCCAAATCAGGAAACAGCTCCTAGAAAAAAAGTATGTAAAGCTTTGTGCTGTTGGCCCAGGATTGGCAGTATCTGGAGGCTGTACTTGGAAAGAAGGACCCTCTGCCCTCTCTCAGAGTGCCTGCACTGCACTGTGGCTGGTTAGTGAACTGTGCAATCAACTAACCTTCCTCGGGGAGAAAGAGGCCTTCTCCATGGTAGAAGAGGTGAGAGCTTTCCTGGAAGCTCAGATGGATTGATCAGCAGGGGGATGCCCTCAGACTTAATTAATGATTCAGGAGGGATGGATTTTTAGAAAAGTACTTCCCCAGACCTCTGTTTCAGTACACTGTCACTCAGGCTAAGAGGGGGAGCTCTCCAGGCATGGATTCCCTGTGTTCCTCTCCAATAAAAAGCAGTGCTCTTACACGCAGCCACTGACTTGGAACAAGCACGTGGGAGCAGCTGGGATAATGATGAGAGATGATAATTTATGATGGTAGGACTACAGGATTACTCAGTTTAAGAACAGCCAGATAGAGATGTTTCACTCAACAAAAAAAAAAGAAATAATTGATTCCTTATAGTAAGTAATAAGTTACAGTGACTGATCCCTTGCTAATTGATGACTAATCATTGCATCTTATAAAGTGTCTTGTTGCTTGTCCTGAGTTAACTATTTGTAGAAGCTTGTGGATTAAAACATAGATGTTGCTTTGAATGAATAAAAAGGGTATTCAAAGTAATGTGAAACATACTCCATTAGAACTAGTATTTATTAAAAATGCAGCAGACAAAAAAAGAAAGAAGCCTCTGAAAAGTAGTCAGTTCATCAATATATATTACACCATTGCCCGCCCAGCACCACTGAAACATGCAGTGCTATGTTTCAGTGCATGTTTTCTCTTCCAAAACGTTCTGTTGACTCATGCTTGGTTCATTATCTATAAATATGCATAGTTTCAAGACTGGATAATGTAAAATGAGCACAAAATGGCACCAAAATGTGTTTGCCCAAAGCTTCCAGCCCCTCTCAGCCCAAGGGAGCAGTGAGGTGTGCGTCCGTAGCGAGATGTGCGTGTCAGTCGTGGAGGTACTCTGCAGTCCCTGGGATGCTCTTGAATCCTTTGTGTGAGCTTTACAGCACGACAGCAAACTTCTCAGAAGCCAAAGAATCACATGCCCAAAAGCATTCTTTTATTACTACTCAGTACATCTTAGTTTTCATTTTCAAACCTCTCTAAAGCCGGGGTGAAGGCAGGGAGGGTGGGGTGTGTTGTGCGTGGCGGGGGGAGTTAAGTGCTCGTGTAAATCAGTTCACTTAGCAGGTTACACACCTGCCCCTTCTCCTGGCACTCTGCTTCCACACTGAGTTAGGGAAACTTTCGTGCTATGGGCACAGCAGCCCCACAGATGGACGTGGTGTCTTGTGTTGGCAGGGTGAGGGGGATTGTTGGTGCTCAGTATGGATGGCAGTGTTAGGTACAGTCCTGGGAAGGAGCAGGAGCACCTACTATTAACTTACAGACAGATCAGTGACATCCTAGGATATTCAGTGAGAACACCAAATGTAGGTGTACAAGAGTGTATGGAGTTTGGGCACCAAGCTTTCCAGCCTCCTTCCCCTTTCAGCTGTAGCTGCTGTGTGTGTCATTGCACGTGCCTTATCTCACAGTGACAATGAACAGAGAACCAAATTCACCTTCAATGGAAAAAGTGCCTTCTGTGGTAGCTACTGTATGAGACTTGTAAAGGTTCTGTAGTAAAACCTACTGTCTCCTTGTCTTAGACCTGTGCTTACTTTAAGTGAGCAGGATGTGTGTGACAGTGGTGTGTGCTTTAAATTACTGTGAGCATCAGTCACCTTTTTTTCATGAGAAACAGCTACTTGCAAAGTTTAAGATGCTTTTTCAGTAGCCTCTCTGACATTATCAGAGCTGTCTTCAACTCTCTGTGCGTATGGAGGGGGAGCACCCTGAATTATATGCAAGTTCACATTAGCCATAAGCACTGGAAAACAAGTAAACCAAAGATGAAAACACCCTGTTTAGAGCATTTAAATTAACATTTGAAAAGGACCCATCAGGATTAACGAGTAATTTCTTATCTAGGGTAGTCAGTTATCAAAGCTACTTAATGCTACATGACAGTGACCACTAGTACACTTATGGGAACACTTAAGTGCTCTGAGGCTACTAGTCTTAAAGTTTGTCATAGCTGTCAAGACAATGCAGGTTCCTGGTTACTAAGAGCTGCACCATAGGAATAAAAAAACCTGGGAGTCTTCTGGGACTTGGTGTGACATCTATTTCTAAAGTCATGGAGAGCTGACACCTACTTGTGTGCATGGCAGAAGTAAGCCCTGAAGCATGCAGACACAGGGCCTCCATGTATCTGAGTGCTAAAGTCAAAATGCTGGAACATGCTTCTAACATTTTAAAAGATATCTTTCAGATCACAAAAAAGTCTTCCAAGGCCAGGAGCCTCCATCATGTTTTACAGAGCACTCGAGGCAGAGAACTGAGCAGCTGCCATCTCTTTTTTTTTCCCCATTTGAAACTGGTATGTGGCTACTTCCCACTTGCAGGCAAGGGAAGCAGCAGCAACACAAAGGGATGGGAGATGCTCCTCCAACCCTGGCTGTTCCTCTGCTCTATGGTAAGCCTCCCAAGCTGTGTTCTTCTCACTGAAAATTCATTCTGAATTCAGCTAGGGATGTTAGGGGGACATACAGACAGACACAATTCTGAAATCTTAATCCTTGACTTAAAAATAGTGGCCAAGTAACACCACTTGCTTCATTTCCAAAGCTCACGGGTGCATCATGTGATGACAACAGGTGTTAATATTTCACAGCAAGAAGGAAAAAGGAGAAAAAAAAGTCAAGACCCCTGTAGCATAACTAGGAATGTTTGCTCAAGCTTGTGGGGAGGGCACTGAATGAAGGCATTGTCAGAGTGGAGAAGCATGTCCTCTGGAAAGTATCATGGTTATCAACAGGGTTAGGTGGCTCCACTGCTCACCCAGCAGCACGCTGACAGGGTAAGGCAGAACTGGAGTCACAGGGTTGTTGTATGGGACAACTGCTGAGGTCTCCAAGCCTACCAGCTGAGCAAAAGCAGTTCTGTAAGAGGCTAACATGAGCAGAGGTCTCCTGGAAGGGTGGAGGTGTCTGGATGTGATCTAGACCCTCGAGAAGTCTCCCCTCTGCCCACCTGTCTTACTGAGCAACTTCACCTCTTCAATCACAATGTCATGAGTAACTGCTTTGCACATGTCATACACGGTCAGAGCAGCCAGGCTGGCAGCTGTCAGAGCTTCCATCTCCACACCTGTCCTCCCCCAGGTCTGACAGGAGCTGCGTATCACAACTGCATACCTGGCCTCATCCAAGCTCAGAGACACCTCAACGTGGTTGAGGGGGATGTTGTGACACAACGGGATCAACTGGCTGGTCAGCTTGGCTCCCTGAATTCCTGCAATCTGGGCTACTGCCAGCACATCCCCTTTCTTCACCTGGTTCTGCCTCACCATCCCAAATGCCTTCTCCCCCAAGCGGACCACAGCACCAGCAACAGCACTTCTTCTTGAATCTGGCTTCCCACCAACATCAACCATTGTGGCCCGTCCTTCCTCATCAGTGTGAGTCAAGTTGGCAGAGTCACGAGGTACCTTGGTGCAAGATCCCAAACCCCTGGTAGAGAATTCAGGTCCTGGACTTGCCTCTTTGGACTGACAGTCCACAGAAACTTGGCCAACAGAAGAAGCCTCAAGGCACTTTGTGTCAAATGTGGAGCTGGGTTCCTTCTGGAAGACACAGAAGCCTCTGAGCTGGGTTTGCAGAATTCCTGTTATGGGCCACTGTTGCTCTGGGTGATATCCTGGCAGGAAAAGCTGTCCTGTAAGCTTCTTTTTCATTAATGCTTTTCCCATTTGTATGGGTAAACTTGCTCTCAAAGTCAGCCGATGGCTAAATGTGTGGCCCCACTGTCTTGAATTTGGCAGGTTCTGTAGGGCATCTTGGCATAGTGGGAATGACATCAATGCAGGCTCTGGGGAGAAAAAAAAAAGGTAACATGAGAATACATCTTACTAACTGAAAAGCTAAGCTAAGTCTGCAGTAGCTGAGAATCCTGTCAGAGCATTGCTTGGGACTTTCTGTATTGCAAAAACCTCAGAAAGCCTGCAGACAGACACTTCTCACGTTGTCTCTTCTCTCTCATCAGTTCCCTGCATTTGCTGGTTTCTCATTACAACTCAAAACGCTTATTTCAAGGTCTCTGACACCAAGGAACAACTTGCTTTCAAGAAGTATCAACACTTCTTGAGAAATAGCAGCCCAGAAAGCTTATAGGAACATCAGTTCTGAAGAAAAGCAAGTCTCAGCATCCATTTGAGATTGTGCCAGCACCAGTCTTCTTTTGAAAGCCTGGCAGGGATAATGGGAAATTCTTGCATCCAGATTCTCAACTCTGCCTTCTCAAACACCTCCTTCCCAGCACAGGCAGCTGCATTTCCTGCCTTCACCTCCTGCAGTGAGGGGTCATGCCAGCACTTGAGGACAGCAGCAACCAGAAGGACCACATCTGCAACTGCACTGTCTACAAGCTCAGAGGGTACCTCTGTGATGGGAACCTCTCATTATTGCCAGCTCTCACCACGTTAATGACAGCTGAAGTTTAAGCACTGGAAAAACCACACTCCCCTCATTGACAGATAGATTTTACATCCACTCAGAAGTAGGTTCCAAGTTGAGCTGGCAGAGCTCCCAGCTGGCAGAGAGGTAGTGAGCCCTCCTGCCCCTTTTCACCATTTAATCCCTTGGTTTTGGCATTTGCACAGGGCTAAACGCCAAATGTCAAGATAGAAAGAGTCTTTTTCACATAAAAGTGATTTGTTTTGTAAGTAAAGAGAAAGTAGTACAGAGGTAAGTGACTAAACCCTAGATTAACAGCCTCATTGATAAGTAAGTTTCTCTTTTTCTGGAGCTCCTGTTCTCTTTTCCTTGAGAAACACAGACTTGGGTTTTGTTCAATAACCTCCTTTGGTAGCTCTGGTATCAGGGGAATCCCTTACTCAGGAGGTTTCAGACTGCCCACAGGTGAATAAAAGCAGCTCCCTGGCCCCTTTGTCTTGCTGACCTACCTCTGCTGCCCCAATCTACAGGTAGCATCTTGGACTGTCCACATAACACCACCACACTGGGGACAAACTCCTTTTTTAAAAAACAAACCAATCTCTTCCTTGTTAGTCCTAGACTCTGCCCTAACAAGACTGATGATGCACTCTGCACCTTTTGCATCCCAAGTACCCTCCAAACACTGATCTGAAAGTGCTCATTACTGAAGATTCAATCAGGCATAGATTTAATGACTTATTTTTTTAAATTGCTGCAATAATCTAAATTCAGGCAAAGGCTCTCTTTGATCTATAGCTGATGGCCTATCTACTAAAAATTAAGATTCCTGCAAGTTTAGTGATAATGTATTTACTGTCAGAAGAATGGGATTAAATGGATATAAATGTTTTGAGTGCAACACTGCTCTGCTTTAGAAGAGCACAGAAAACTGTGCTTATTCCTCCTTGCTTTCCCTCTGTCTTTATACAGTGTGGCCTAACCTGAATATTCC